TTTAAATCCCATCAACCATTCTGGCCAAGGCAACCTCTTTATACTGAGATAAATTGTTAAAGTCCTCACCAGTCTGAGGCAGGAAAAGAACTTACTTGGGAGATATTCCTCACCCAAATTCACAATCGTTTGTTTGCAGAAATCAGTAACTTGGGACGCAAGTTATCCATTCCAAACTAAGTCTGCTAGAAATTTTGCTGGCAGTGGCACGCTCGCACACCAAAGAAAGCTGACTTGTTGATCAGTTTATGGTTCTCAAGGCCGTGGGGAACTTTGCCCTTCCATCATAGGAGTAAACACAAGAACGGGTGAACAGTAGTATAATACCAATTAATTTAATATTGTATATATGTATGTGTATGTCATTTAAATTCATTCAAAATAATAATAATAATAATAATAATAATAATAATAATAATAATAATAATAGTAAGATGAACTATGTATAAATAAATAAAGGAAAACATAGAAGAAATCGAATGAGACATGAATGGGAGGTAGAGCTGGGCATATGGGACCGAAAACCGGCCAAATCGGCCGAACCAAACCGGTCGGTCTGGTTTGGTTTGTTTTTTCCCTTCTCTTTTTGGTCAACGGTGCATGAACCGGACCGAACCGATGGTCATGGTTCGGCGTTCGGTTCCTAATTTTAAAAATCATCGATTAACCGAAACAAACTGAATATGTTAAATTATATGTAATTAAATAATTATAATACACGTGAATGGTGAATGATGCATATGGTTTACTTTGAAACTTTGGATGGATGTGAATGATGAATGATGCATATGTTTTAGTTTGAAAAGATTGATTGAATGAATGAATTTGAATATGTTGTGATGTGAATGGTGAATGAATTTCAAACAATTTTGAATGAATGTTTGAGTTTGAATGAATTTAGAGTCTAAATGTTTTCAAGCAGGTTTTCACCAAACCAAACCGAGGTAACCGGTTAACCGAGATGATCGGTTTCCCACCTCATTGGTTCGGCTCACAGTTTGAATTTTCTTCAAATCGATGTTCACGGTTCGGCACACGGTTTGGACCCAAAACCAAACCAAACCAAACCGAACCCACCTCTAATGGGAGGTACAGATAGAGCCCACTTTGATAGAGTCAATCGTATAAGCCAACTTTGGTGGCCTCACAAATATAACTAGCAATTCCAGTCATTAAGGCCTTCCCTTTTTCCTCACCGTAAATGCAAAGACAACTCGATATGACCAACTCCTTTTTTTCCAATTCAAATTCCTCATTCAAGAGCACCTGATTTCAACTTATATGAAAAGTCCATATTTGAATATTGGTTAATAGTTGTCTTAGTATTATGAAATATTTACAAACTATATCATCTATCTTACTTGTCAAAATCCTGGAGAGAGAAAAATTCTTACTTGTCAAGTCCCTTATTTTTAGCATTTTATATTTAATTTTTAAGCTTAATTTGGTAACTTGCTAAGTTGGATATTAATAATACAAATTTATAAATAAACCCAATCCTAGACATGTATTTATAAAAAAACCCAAGCACTATTTAAACATAGAAACACACCCAAAACCAACCCCAAAGTCAACTTTTTGGGTGTGTTTATAAATGGGTTTTGAGTGTGTATAAATTATAATGATGGATTTTGGGTGTGTTTATATGTTTAAATAGTGCTTGAGTTTTTTTATAATTTCAACCTCCATTTTGGGTGTTTTAGTGAAACTCCCTATTAATAATCGGGTTCTTCTTCCTTCCTTCTCTGTGCGTCCTCCCCCACACCCAAGCCTTGCAACTTTCTTAAAAATTGAACCAAATGATTTAGAATATTTGGTTTCTTTTATGTTTTTATGCAATTCATTTAATTTAATTTTCCTGTTGGGTTTTGGGTTAATTTTCCTGTTGGGTTTTGGGTTAAGGTTGGCATTCATAATTCTTTCCATTGATTGCTTGAAGTTGTTTGGGTGCATGAAGCCCTAATCTTTTTTGCCCGGAGCTTGATCATATCTTATCTCGATCTATTTCCATGGTTTATATCTTATCTCAATCATTTCTTAATATTTAACACTAAACAACAAATGTAAAAAGAGTTTTAGTACAAAAACAAGACAGTCTCATAAATTTTGGGAAACGCACCAACTCAATTCATCTCAACACTGAAGGTTTCAATCATAACATTTATTGTGATGCGGTAGGTTTAACACCATTTCTTCACTCCACCATCGCATCTTGTTTCTTTCTTACTTCCATATTTTACTTTTGGACTAGAAGCGGCCTGGGGTGGTGCAAGTGAGACCATCGCACAAGAACCCTGATTTTTGAAGGCTCCTGAAAAAATATATATATATATATATTAATATTATAAGAATGGTATATACTTTAGCATGCTACATATTATCACAAAAGTGTGTGTGGCGGAGCTGGCTTTGTAGCGCGTATCTCTTAATAGAAGGGCCCGTTTGGACTCCACCATTTGAAACACGAATTTGACTTTGCTTTCGTTTTTGTTTCCTTTTGTCCCCTCAAAAGTCAAGGGTGAGAATGTACCACATACGCATAGCTTAACTCGACCTCTCTCTTTCCTTGCAATTGTCCATGTCATTGTCAACGTAGACTTCAATGTCTGCAAACTATAAATAAGAGACTTGAAGAAGTTCCCATGCATAACTCAAGCTTTCTTCATTAACAATGGCAAAGCTCCTTCTGGTATCAGCCTCTGCACTAGTCTTTGTCATCCTATTGCTCGAGCTTAGGTTGGCTTACTCTTCAGCTGAACCACAAAGGCCAATAAAGGGTAAGGTTTTTAACCTTACATATTGCTCTAGCTGATATATATTTTCCATCGTTCAATTGATATTGAGTATATCAGCCATGTGTTTATATTAAATTTTGTGCAGAAACTTGGGAAGCCAATAATGCAGCTGTTAACACCGGTGGCTGCACCACAAAGAGCAAGGCCAACTTTGATAAGCAGCAATCAGATTTAGGCATGGCAGCTCAACCTCCTCCACGCCTTTGGAGACGAATGGATCGAGGTAGGGACCATGATCATCCAAGACCAGGAACAAGTCCACCACATTCTACACCTGGCGGACGTCCTTAGTACAAGGATCATGTCTTGTCTAAGATTTGTAGTGACAGTAGGGATATCATTGGATTTCACAGCAAAAACTCTTACCTGTGTATCCATTGCAATGTCTTCATTCTTGATTTCCTGCCCATATATATGTATGAAATTGTTTCGATAGTTAAATAAAATGTGTAGTGACCTGACAACGTGTCGGTCAAATAAATTTATTTGAGAATCTCTCAATAGAAGAGAATTTTACAAACAATAAATAATTTAATTTTACATAATTCAGGCCATGTTTGTAGCTATCCCCGCCTGTTCCCACTATTAGTATTGTTAGGGCCGATCTGATTCGGATTTCCAACCTCGCAAGTAAGGCTTTTTTTTTTGTTTTTTAACCAGTTTGCTTTTAGTTTTGTTTTTTGTTTCTTTGACTTCTTGTTTTTATTTCTTTTTTCCCCTCAAAAGTCTCTTTCCC